AAGGGAAAAAAAAAAAAAAAAAAAAAAAAAAAAAAACAACAACAACACAACACAGTCTGACCAATAACCATACATAATATGCTGCAGAATCTGGCCTCTCTCAAAGCTTTAGCTGAGTGTTCCAGCAGACCGATATCTCTGCTGCTCATTTCGACAGCCTGCAACCTGGTCAGAGAGCAGCCCTCTTCTGAATATGAGGGTTTTCAAGCTCCTGACGCTGATAAAAGTACAGTAGGGCAGTGCCAAGAGCGATTCGGAGTTCTGTCACTGCCCTCATCCTAGAGCTTCCCCATAACAGGCACTCCCGTTATGATTTTATCACTGCCAGGTCTGTACTCCCAACCAGCAGTGTTAGAAATCCAAGTATTGAATGTGAATTTACAATGCAGTTCTATTACTCCATTACTACAGGCTTCCTCATTGCTGTAAGGTGCAACTCCCCAACACGCAAATATACAAAACACCCATACAGACATTTCCAACGATATGGATGGGTGTCTGAACACACACAATAACACTACACAATACACATGTAAAGCAACAAGCATGTGCATCCATTTAAGCAATGAGATACAATCTATAGCAGCCAATATTTTTTTCGGCATAACAGATAATGAAAACATATTTATGGTTGCTGATAGGAGCAACTTCCAACTACTGGTCTTTGTACTACTTCATATATCACCATAAAGCAAAGATATTTAGGGCATTCTCAAACCAGAAGCCTAAAGCGTATCTACGAAAAAGCAACCAGGCATGCAAGGTGGAATTGGTACTGAGCACACCAGACTAACTTCTCATATTAACAAGTAGTCACATTTTGGGGGACACTGCAGGACGTTGGTTAAAAACAAACACTGACATGCTTGATTACACTTGAACAGACCACACTGTAACGTAATGCTGTAGAAGCAACAATTGAGCAGCTGTGGATAAATACTGGCCCATTTTTCCAGAATTCTACCGAAATACAGCTGCAAGCACATATCCAAGCTTCACTTCAGCTCTTTCCTAAGCAAGAGGATAGCTTAGCAAAACATTGGAAGGAGCAAAATCACAAACTGCAGCACCCCATAAAAACAAATCAAAATCCATTTTGTGCTGAACTGTCCTCAGGGTCACACATTTTGGCAGAAAATTATCCTTCATGGGTGTTAAATGCTTACTATCCATCAATGTAAGAGATCACTTCTCTACTGACCAATGAAGTTAGAGGACACTATGATTTTAACTGCCCGAGTTTCTGTTCTGTTGTTACAGAGGGTGGTAAAAATTATCCTACATGGGTGTTAAATGCGCTAGGTACACCACATTCATTTTTCTTTTGTTTAAACCTTTCTAAAACTTGTTTATCATGCACCATGAGCTGTATCTATTATCATTTTAAGCAGGGGTTCCCCAAGAATTGAAAATAATTTAAAGGGTTCCTCCAAGGTAAAAAGGTTGAGAAAGGCTGTTCTAGTGTCACACAATTTACAATCTGGTCAATATGAAACCTCCATTACTGAACCTAATTTTTATTTATATATTGTTTTTGGGATTAGGAAGATAAAAAAGGCACTCAGCTGTGAGGATCACCCCATAAGGACACAAATTTATGAGTGTGCATGAATAAATATAATCCCCATACTTGCCACTTTTTCTGTAATAAAAGGTATACAAAAACCCTATAAAATAGGTCAATACATCTAAATGTAATGAGGTAATTCATATTTGTATTAGACGTCCTACAACTCTTCTTAAATGAGTTCTACGCCATGATCTTAATTGGTCATTAAGCTGAACGAGCATGAACTGCAGGAAAAGAACACTATATAGATTGCATCTATCAATGCAGACACATGTTTATTTTATTATCATTTAAAAGTAAAAGCGGGTCAGCCACTCCTGTATACAAATCAAACATGGCCATTACTATTATCTATACTGTCTTTTATTAGTACGAGTCCTTTTGTACAGGCAATAGTGGGAAATACTCCTTTAAGTAGAGAGCTGTGGGCCATCCAGATATATGCATGTGTCCAGTAATCAGTACATACAGTAACTAGGCAGAGCTCAGAGCCAGGCAGAGGAGAGATGACAGGTGGTACCTGTCACAAGATTATCCTCTAGTGCCGCTTGTTACCTCTCTGCTAAGCAAATAAAAACGCAGGGCTGAAATCAGAATTATGCTCTCATGCAAAAGCAAGAGATATTTTGCAGATATTATTCACCAAGTAGAAAACATATTAAAGCCACTGGGCACATCGTATTGCATCTGTGCACATTCAGACAGTTAGCGGTAAAGAGAAAAAAAAAAAAAAACAACACATAACAAGGCGTACAAAAACATATTGCATTTTATGAAGTGCAATGGTTGTCCTTTACCTAAATGGTCCTTGCTCTTGGCCATAATATTTAAAGGGTGTTTAAACCCCAAGAATAAACTTCTCTTATTTACTCCCTTTTCAATTTGATAAATACACTATTAAAATTGTTTTGCTAGATCTGTTCAGTAAGTGAAAACAAACCTGTCTGCTTTGCCAGAAATCTTGTGAGCAGATAACTTCCTATGCTCTCTGCCTGTGTACAAGGAATAATGGAGATGAGGAGAGGTCTGTGTTCTTTGTAATCCTTTAAAAATTAAGTAGGCAGGGCTGACACCGCATGCTTAGGAATTTAGAGCCAAACATACACTGGGGGGGGGATTAATCAAAACTGGAGCAGACAAAATCTGGAGCAGCTGTACATGGTAAATCGATCAGATTCTCTCTTCAGTTTGTTCACTTAAAAGGAGAACTATGAGGTGAGCGATTTCCACTCATCCTCATAGTTCGAGCCGACCTGTGACAATTAAACGGTCACAGGTCGGTTCTATAGTTTGTCTGCTCCACTTTTGATAAATTCCCTTCACTGTGTTGTCATGTCAAAGAGCAAGGTAAGAGCACAGTACAGTTTTTTTCTCTACCAGAAGTGTGTTAAAGGGATAAAATATGGGGATTGTGCAAGTATTCCAGAGATGTACTAAATGTTTTTAATTTTGCCTCATTCAAGTAAAAGATGCTGTAAAGAAATGTTAGACACTACAGATGCAGTTAATAGATGAGGAAGATATAGAACAAAGTGTATTTTAAATCTGTCTAGGGTTAATATAATAATTTCCCTCAAGTACAGAGCAGGTTTTCCTTTCATCTGTGTTGGTGAATCTTGTTTTGGGCTGGCAAATTCCCAGACACTTGAACTTCCCAAGCATGGTTGAGCGCTTTTACAGACCAAGGTGCCCTAATGAAAGGACATTCCATTTCTGCTTAGACCTGTGACATGAAACAACGCCTGACCAAAAAAGCTATAGAGGCTGTGCAGCTACCAGTAGCCACACAGCAAAGGTCTCCACTGAACGCGGACAGGCAAGTTTAGGTGGGGTTGCTGGGAGCAGAAGCAACTTTTACAAGGATTATTGTATTAAAAGTACAGCTATCCTTTATCCTCTTATCTTATGAACATGTTATATACAGTGGATATAAAACTCTACACACGCCTGTAAAAAAAAATCAGATCAATATAAAATCACGTCAGAATGTTTTCCACCTTTAAGGTGCCCCTACACCTGCCGATTATCGTAGGATAATCGCGGGTGATCCCGCGATCGTACGATAATCGGCAGGTGTATGGAAGGCATGCAACCGTTTCTACTGTCGCACGTCTTTTGTCTTCCGAGCGCGCTCGAAAACCTGCCAAAGATCGTACGATTCTTGGCGGGTTAGTGGCGTGCTCAGAAGACAAATGCCAAACGGGCCGGTGTGCGCAAGCGCACACTGACCGCTTAGCATTGGAATCATCTGAAGCCCTCCCCTCAGCGGAGCGGGCATGCGATGATCGCAAGTACGATCTGCCTGTCCAAGATTGGCAGATCGTACGAGATTTTAATTACCTTACAACCATCGAACAAGGAAAGTCGTGCGATGGTTGTAAGGTGTGTGGCCAGCTTTAATGTGACATATAATCTGTACAATTCAATTAAAAAACAATTAGGGATGTGGCGGAATTAACCAATCACATTCAAACTGATGTTAACTAGTAGGGAGTGCACATCTGCTATTAAAGTGACTGATGAAGCCCATAGAAAGTTCAGCTGTTGTAGTCTGATTTTTCTGACATTTAGGCTCCTTTTACGCACTAAACATAAAAACCAATGCATTGCAATGTGCGTTGTTCAGACTATTGTGCCAGTCACGTGGTATGAAACCCTGGGTCCTACAAAATAGTCCATATATAGCTGGTGGTATTCTGCATTTCCGTGTAATGTATTACTGGGATTTGTAGTCCTCTATTGTTGGCAGTATTCTGCATTGCTGTATAATGTATTGGTAAGATTTGTACTCCCTCTACAGCTTGGAGTTAGTGGCAGATCTACCAGGGTCACAGCTGCAACTGGGCTCTGGCACTCCACCACTGACTCCAAGCTGTAGAGAGACTACAAATCACAGCCCGGTCAGGAGGAAGAGGGCCCCAGTGACTGCCGCCATTTCCATAAAAAGGCCCACCAAAATCCTCAGCACCATGCCTGTGATGCTCTTAATCCGCCCTGGTATTACCACTTAGGATGCCTTCTATACAACTTTATTATATATTTTATGCAATATCTGAGGGTGTAAAACCTGCTGCAGAAACTAATATTTAAGGAGCCAAATATGACAACATAACATCCAGTGAATGGAAATGTACAAATTCAGCACCAGCTTTAATTCTTGCACACAAATTAGCTATCTGGATCCAAGGGTCTGGCTACCAGGCTCCAAGAATTTCTCTAGCAATGTGATATTTATGTAATGTTTAAAAGGAGGATGGCTCTTACCATGTTTTGCTCAGAGGAGTACTGTATCCTTAATGTGTCCATTGCACGAATCATTGACTGCATGGCAGTGAATATGTTTTGGTAAACGAGATTTGTGAATCCTTTTCGGTCGTCATCTGTGTAACCAGAGCCATGAATAATTCTCATCTGCTTAATGAAGGTACTTTTCCCACTCTCACCAGTGCCTGCAGATAATAAAAAAAAGACTTGTCAGTGCACACAAGAAGAGTCATGTACTAACTGAGTTAACTAAAATTATAACACCCATTCTTTGTAGGAACTCCAGGTTAAAACAACAAATCTGAGTTTTAGGTAAATGTTAATCCAACCATTAGCAATTATTCACTGCAGAAGATACTTGCATGTATACATAAAATATAAAACTAATTACTTTGTTATTAATACATAAATCTAGCATTCTTAAAAGAGACCCCCCCCCCATATTAAATTTAACAACACTGATTAAATCTCTGTAAACAAAACACTTAAAAGTCCATCCCCGGGTTGCAAATCCACACTGCCATTTCTGAAGAAAAAGAAACCCACATTGCCATTGGTGGGCAGCTTCTTTTTCCTTATTCTGTGTCAACCCACCAATACTGCCTGCACCAGATCTCGCACATGGCATGGTTTGTTAAGGTTATATCCCGTTTGAAAGAAAAAAATTCAAGACTTTGCAAAATCTTATGGGATCTTGGGAGAAAGGGATTTTTATTTAAACTACAAGCAAGTTGGAGGGCACTGGTGACACAGCCTTCCCAGGGCAAAATGTGAGTCTCCAGTGCCACTAAATACCAGGAAGTGAAATCAAATAAAATACAATTTTACAAGGAGGTATAAATATGTATGTATACTTACATTGGCCTATCATGGCCCAATGTAAGTATACATATGATATACCTGTGTTGCCCAAAGGGATCCTGGAAAACAATGTAGTAGTCATAAAACACAGAAGGTCGGTTGCTCACTCGACACAGCAACCAGCATTTGCCTTGTTTTAAAACTGGAAATTAGTTCACACCACCACGTTGTATGCATGCAGTACCTTTTTTTAGCGCAGTATGGTGCAACACGGTACCATCACAACGCACTGTGCCGATAGAATTTAATGAAATGTCCCTCCTGACTTTTTTTTTATAAAGTTCTATAGTGGGGGGTGGGGGGGGCACAGTAAATGGTGCAATGCGCTGGGATCGGTCTGTTAGCACACACCAGCATCTGTGTGTTCAGCGCAGCTTGCTGGTGTGAACGAATCCTTAAACACATTGTGCACAAACAGAAAATGCAATTATTATATGTAATAGTACAAGTGAACAAAAGGGGGAAATAAATCAGATGGGATGACAATTGTTCTCTACTCCAAATTCATACTTCTAGATCAGGCATGTCAAACTGAAATGCAAAAGGCTATGTTATGCCTACTAATGGCCACGACGACGTAACTCCTCAAAAACATTGGGGAACTTCCGTAATCAGCATGGTAGTAATCCTATAATTCCCATAAACATTTCCAAAGAAAGTGTAACCTGTATCACCTCTGACCTTATCTAATTTATGTAGCAGAGGAGTAATAAAAAAAAAAAACTCCTTTTGAGACTGCAATTTTCCAGGATTTTTGTTGGCATATGTGCAGTGTTCATGTTGCGGTATTTTCCACACCACTAATCCATCGATTTTCATATTATTCGAAAAAACTTTTCCAGCCTGACCAATCGAGGAAATTTGCCCAGTTGTACAGTAATTATGATCGTTGACTTCCCATCAACTGGCCGATTATGAAAACCCGATCGAGTTTGATTTACGAACGATAATCGCAAGCTGTTTCGGCACCTTTACGAGGAAGTGTTTTCATAGAGACTAGCAAATTGTCTCTTAGCGATCCTGACAATGAAGAGTTGTTACTAGTGACAAGATTGCCTGTATGACCCGCCCTAACATGTCTCCACTCTATGCAGACAGAAGCTAGCGTTTTGGTGTTTAATCAAAACCCAGTGCAGGAAAATTATTCTTTAGACTGGCTTTTGGCAATAGTTAAATGGTTTGTATTATTTCTCTTAATCGAGGGCCGCATCAACATTATGGTTGCTCTCAAAGGGCCTGTAAGACTATATAAATGTATCTAATCTTTATCATAATTGCCTCTGCATTCGATTATCACTGGTTTTAGTAATAACTTAATACCTAGATCTGAAAGTAGAAGTCTAGGAAATGGCCTGGTGGGTCGGATTCGGCCACTAGGCCTTGAGTTTGACACGTGTAACACCATCTTACTATCTTCTGTGCTGTCCATCACTTTTTTCCCTGATTTTTTTATAGTATAGAAAGAAAAAAAAAGTCATTTTGAAGGGGATTGTATGAAGCAAAAATGTGGCCCCAGGGGCGTGGACATTTTTGAAAAAACTACTTGTCCAAGGGCTAAAGCAGGGGTCAAATCTACTTGTCCTTCATGACAATCTACTTGTGCCAAAAAAAGTTTTACAAGTTTAAAACTAGGGATGCACCAATACCAGTTTTTGGGTATCGAGTACGAGTACCAATATTTTGCTTTCAGCACTCACTGAGTATCGGTGCTTCCGTTGGCATGGAGCAGTCTTCCCGGGCAATCAGGAAGCCGGGCAGCTGGTAATGAGATGCTACCCGGCTTCCTGACTGCCAGGGAAGCCGACTCCATGTTGTTTGGCCGGCTTCATTGTGAATGGCTGGGAAGCCGGTTTCCCGGCTAATCATCATGGAGCCAGCTTGCTAGCCAATCAGGAAACCTGGTGGAGAGTAATGACCTGATTGGCCGTGAAGATGGCTTGATGCTAATTGGCGGCCAATCAGCAAGGAGCTGGCTTCCTGGCCAATCAACTGATCACGCTGACCAATGAGTGCTTGCAATTTGCGAGCAAAATTCAAAATGCATAGGGCAGGAATGCGCTGGACAGTACGGGGTAAGGACACCTGTACTGGCGGAGGGTACGGACTGTTTGCAGAAAGTTAAGTATAGCTGGCAGGTGGGGGGGGGGTAGAAGAGACCGGGCCAGATTTGATCGGGTAATTCCATTTTCCCGTATTACCTGGGAAAGTGAACTTACCCTTTATTGCACAGTGTGTGTGTGAGAGAGTTCTGCTGCCCAGGTACCACAATATGGCACAGTGAAATGGCAGCAGGACTCAACACACACACAATTTTGTATGCAGATGGCAGGGGCAGCGTAGTTGGTTTT